TCTTTGGGTTTATGATCCTGATGCTTTCTTTATGGCCTCTTTAAATTGAGCTTTTGGAATCCAGCATCCAGAGCTAATTAGGCAGGCTGTAGGACACCCTTGCCAAACAAGTCAAAACATTTTGAAGCCATTCCATTGCTGGACTTGATGTGAACAGTAAGGCAATATTGCTCACGTTTGTTGACATATATTATTATGGTTGTTGCCATTACACCCCATGTCCCCAGAGTATTGTTTAAATACATGATACAAGAGATGAAAGCAAGCAGACAGTGAAAAAAAGAAAAAAAAAAAAAAGAAAATATCATATACTTGTTATTTTTTGGCATTGTGTAATTAAACCATCTCCTTTAATGTTATTTTTGCCAGTATCTAATTAGCAGAGCCATCTGCCTAAGAAGTGCTGGACCATCTGTCTGGAATAGTGTTCTGTTCATTTCTTGGTTCTTGACTAATTAACTTCTTTCTCTGTGAAATGTAATAGTACATTCTGTTTCTACATTTCCAAGTTCATATATAAACATATATATGAAAGCATAGCTGTCTACCTGTATATGTTTTGAAAATCTGTGTAGCTACAGGAGCACAATTCTCCCAGGAGGTCTGATTGTACTCAGTTATGTGTGCAGATTTCACTGTAGGTGAAGTCACACGTTTTTTGTTGCCCTGTCCGTAAAACTAATACATCTCTCACTTAAATAATTCTAATTGGCCAGTCCTTTAATAACTGTGTTCAAATCTCAAATTTCCTGTCTACGTTTACTAATTAAAGTTAGAATTATAGAAAGGGGCCACGTATAAAGTTAAGTATGTAGGGCTCTGATTTTTTTTTCCTGTTATATTTTGTATTTTTCTGGAAAATCATGTGATAATTTAGGTCGGAAGGGACCTCCAGATGTCTTGCCTGGGGACTTCCTTTGTTGCTGCATGTTGGGCATGTAAGAGAATCCCTTGACAGTTACTTCTATGAACTTTATTTACTGTTTCTACACTTTCCGTGTTCCTCTTTTAATATTCTTCAAAGGTGTTTGGATAAATCAGTTTAAATTAGAGATCATCTTTCAGTTTTTGTTGGGGTTAATTTCTTTGCAATTATTTAGTTTAACTTGCTGAAGTTAACAATAGTTTAACTTCTAAGCGAGACTCTTACTGTTCATCCAGAGAAGTTACTAAAATATATCTGTTGTTCCAAAGAATATTATTAATTTCAAGAATATAATTTTTAACTTAACATACATGGCTGTTGAATGCACATTTTTCTTCATTTTGAAAATAATAATTTAATTAAATATTCTTAAGTTGTAATTTTCTTTCTTCACTGGCTGGAATTTCTCTCATCCTACTACCCCTTGAAAATGCCAGGAGAGATTTCATCTCAAGTTTTGAAGTTCTTTACAAACATCAATGTTCAAAACACTTAGACAGTCATTTACAACTGAGGCTTTTCAGAAAGCTGTCTGCCATCAGTTTGAAACTTGAGTTCAAGCTTACAGTGTGCACCAAAGCCTTGGTTTTGTTCAGTCTGATTTTTTGTCAAATCTGTATAGACCTTTGTGGTTCATGCATTTTTTTAACCTAAAAACCAATATGTGTTCAAAAGTGAACTGTGACAACCTCATCCGAGTACACTAGGTTAAGTTCAAGTCGTTTCTTTCAAGTGCAGTCTTTAGAGTTGCTCACGTTGGCTTTAACAGCATTAAAAATCTCACTGTGTTACATAATTAAGGTTTATTTATGTATAAGAGAATGTATTTATGAAAGAGATTGGGAAAGTAGGAGCACGCTAAGTCAAGTCATTAAATTTATAGAGATGCTTGAAAGACCATATTGATCATAGGATTTATAAAAGCCATGCCATTGTAAATATTGTCAGCTTGCTATCAGAAACAGACTGGTGTGCTGCCTTAAACCCTCCTTCTTAACCTATTCTTTGTAGAGACGTGTAGTAGTAGCTGTGTATAACCTGTCCTTCTCTTATCTCTTATTTTGACACTGACTTTCAAATCCCTGTTTACTCTTTCCCCAGAGAGAACAAACCTGAGTGTCTGTAATTTGGTTCAATGAACTTTGTTGCCAGCTTAAGTAGAATTATAACATTAATTAAAACCAGCACTCTGAATGCTGCAGGTTGTAATTTGAATGTGAAAATTGAAGGTTCTTGTTAAGAAAAAAAAAAAAATCATAATAGAATAAACCTCAGCTGTATAGATCTTTGTAGTGAATTAAATATCCAAAGTGGTTTGCATGTCATATCTGCACTCCTCTGAACTTAATGGAAATGTCCTCAATCAGTATTAAGCAGAAAAATATGTCAATTAAAGGGAAGCAGTGGATAACAGTAATATATGTAAACGTGGGTTTGCACTTGCTTTCTAGAATAATGCAATCCTTATATGTCCATCTGGTCTTTCACAGTGACAATTTTCAAGTCATAATCTTCTAATGACAAAACCCACATTGTTATTATTCTGTTGGGACATTTTGTTTTGCCTTTGTGTGCTGAAAATTCAGGACGCATTTTTCTCGTGTTTTTTTCCCACATTGAAATGATGTTTATCTCAAAGAGTTTTCTACCTGTCTTCCTCCTGTATAGAAGCTTTATACTGTATTGAATATTTAAATTTCCATTTAATGGGAAATTCCCTGGAATTTCCTGAATATTAGAAGGTAAAAAGAAAGCAAGTTCTATATAGAAATGTTTGCCTGCATTACTGAACTGTGTGGGAGCCTTAGGGACCAAAGTACAACAGATTGAACTACTCAGATCTCTTCAGATGCCTTTGTTCTGTATTTCATTTGCAGGCTCCTCTATTATTATCTCTTCTAGCAGTGGAACCAAGTGCATTAGGACTATGAGTACCCTTTGATTCAAAGATGGGACTTAGCTTTGTCACCAGTGTGTCTGCATTTATTTCTTGTGCACACAGTATTACTCCTTTTTAGCAGATGTTTTCATGAATAGGGCTTTCCCAGAGATTTGGCCATTTGGTTAACTTGCAAGCAAATATATTTATATCTCGTTGTAGAGTTTGTGCTCTTTTAGTTCTTGTATGTGCTGTTAACTATGATGTCCAGAAATATTACATAATGTTTTAATATTTCACATCCTTCTCCTTTAAATTACTTTTACTGTGGACTTAGAGCCAATTGAAAGCTTTTTGTCATTGAAATTTTGTCAATTGAAATCAATTTGTCATTGAAAATTGATTTACTGATAAACATTTCGTATTTAATGCAATCTTTTTCCTTCTGTTTGTGCCAATGTGTTTTTCTCAGTTCAGTTTTGGCAAGAACTTTCCTTCCAACCTTCCTTTTAAGTACCCATATTTCACTCTCATTCTACTCTGACCTTCTTCTGGTAACTAACTCTTGTGGTTCTCCAGGCATTTGAAATTTTTTGTGTTGTTCTGAGATAACATATTCAGCACTTGTATCTAGTGCCATAGAACATGGAAGTTCAGTGTGTCCTAATGGATTGGTCAGGAATTCAGCTGGTCGTCCTACGATCTCTGTTATGGATGTGAATTGCTTTTTGCATTACCGAGTCAAAAGAGTTAGGTCATTGCTGCTTTTTTATCTAACTCAGTGTGAGATTTCTTTCTTGCTGCTAGATACACTTTGTTATAAATTCTAGGGTCATTCGCAAGTGGATTCTTCCAGAAGTTTTCAATATATTCTCCTGTATACCATACTCACTTAGCATTGCAAAAGCAAATGCTGTAAATAGGGATGTTTACGATGGAGGAAGAGAAGTAATTACATTAGTTTTCACAAGTAGTTTGGTTTTTTTTCTTGAAGTGAAAAACGCTCATTCTTGGGCTTGTTGAAACACAAATACTCTGAAGGCATTTTCCTCCTTAATTTAAACAGGCTTTCACCCTATTATTAATTAGAGAGTCTGCTTGCTATTAATACAGTCTCCATTAAAAGACAGGTAAAAAACATTTTCTATATTATGTCTGGATAAATGATCTTTCATTATTTCCTTGTAAATAAAAATGAAAAGGCTGTGGTTTCAGTAATTGGGCATCAGTGGTTGCTTCAGAAATCTCAATTCTTCTTGATAAAATGTGCTTTGTGGCATTTTTATCTAAGGAACATATGGATGTGCACAGTTGAGGTGAAAGAATGCAGCCTAATTTAAAATGCACTTTGACTACACAAGCATATACAGGCATTCAAATATGTACATGTATTGGCACATTAACACCGAGCATGCAACCTGCTCCACTGAACAGCATAGTTTGTAAGTCATAGCTGCTGAATGTTAGATATGGAAATAACTGGAATTAACTCATACAGTGAAATGGCAGTAATGCAGACTAGGCGTTACAGTCCATCTGTTGAAGCAGTGATACAGCTCAAAAAAATGAGGATAAATTGCTTCTGCTTTGCAGTGCACTGTTTCACTGTTGTCTTGTATGTCTCTGCCCATTGCTTCTTTCTCTGAATGGATGTTTTAGTGCTTCGGATTAGTGCTGCAGTCATACCTTTAGAGACTAAAATCTCCACTTGATGCTTGAGATAAATACTTCAAAAAGTGCAGTAGGGCATGCTTTCCCACTGAGCAAGATTTCTCAGCAGAGCTGACCTCAGATGCTGTGGTGATGTAGCCCAATTCTGTTGGAGAAAGAGGCTCAGCCTTTCTGTGTGTTCCTCTATCTGCTTACCCTCATAAAACTCACAAAAAGAACAAGAAAAGGCTAAATAGTATCAAATGTAAGTGTGGTTGTTTCTGCTGTAGTGATTGGTACAGTGAATCATGATGTTGGCCAGCTTCCTTTTGGATTAAAATAATGAAAAACCTTCAACAGCAAAACTACATTTCTAGGGAGAAAACTATTCAGAGGCATTTATTATAGATATATTATTATAGATAGGATCATCCACAGCTAATCATCAGTATCTCTGAAGCACATAACACAAACATGGGCTTAGAGAGCTCAGAGGCTTACATTTCTGGGTTACCTGCATTTCTAACAAATTCCTTTTGCTTGCAGGCAGTGGAGTGGCAATGTGACGAAGCCACGAAAAGAGCCTGTTACAGTAAAGGCAAATCAAAGGTAAGCACGAGACAGCTGTTCTGCTTTAATAAAAATATTATGTTAATAGCAGATGTAAGTCAGTGTATAAATCCCTACCTTATGCCTTTTTGCTGTGTCCCTTTCTGAGGAGAGACATAGGAGAAGAGTCTGCCACTGATGTGTAAGCAAAGAAATAAAAAAGAACATAGGGAGCATGGGCTGAGAGAGATTCATGTGAATCCTGTCTGAAATGGCCATGAATTTTAGCTTTCAACAATTTACTGTTTTGACACTGAGGTCAAGCATATGCATGTCATATATAGTGAACTGTATTCTCGCTTCATTTTCTGTGCTGTAAATCCTGAATAACTGTGGAATTACTTTGTAAAATTCTCAGTTTATATCCCCGTGTTTAAGATGCAATTTTATTAACTTTTTTTTATTTCCTATCTACTGGTACTATGAAGAAAATAATAATAAATGCGCTAACTTCTTGGACATTGAACCTGATGTATTTTTGTACTTAAAACCAATTCTTTATCTGGCCAATTGCAGTATCTATTATTCAGTACAGGAAAATGTAATGCTAAGATTGAACCTTTGGCTGTGCCAACCTGAAGGTAGTTATCAAATTAATTATAAAAGCAATTAGAATTGCATGCAATCTATGTTTTTAATTTTATACTGTTTAGTGATTAAAGTTAATTCAACTATAACATGAAGGGAGAACACATCAAGAGTGATAAGTGCAAAAGAGCACACTTTTATTCAGCAGAATGTGTTGCATACATTATTGTTGTGCAAAACTCAAAAAATCCCAAGCTTCAAAAACATATTCCAACAGCTCTGTCACCTAGTAGAGGAGGAATCTCTTCTGCATAGTTAGCTAATCACTGACTTAAATTTCTCCTATTAAACAGTGAATTTCCAGCTCATTTTTTGCTAAGTGCTGCAAAATAAAATTGCAATATATGATTGTGTTTCTGAGATAAACGAGGAAGAATGGCCTCACTTCTGAAGCAGAGCCATGTTACACTGTGAGGTATAGAAAAGAAAGGACTTTTGGAACTTCATATTTTAAGGAATGTTTAATTTGCTAGGTTGTTATTTTTCCCTAGAAAATTTATGCTTCAATATGTAATATATCACTCAAGTCTTTCCCCTTAGCTTTCATATGACAACACTTGGAAGTAAGGGAATATGCTCAAGCATCAATAGCGGATGTCACAATGTGTTGATCAAGGGGCATATACAGTAGAAACTATTCTGGTAGGAATGCTATTTGTAACTAAACATATATGGCTTTGCTTCACAGTGATTTTCCAAGTTTAAGGCTGTGAGAATAGCATTCAACTTGTCTGAAAGTCATAGTGCAGTGACTGTGATCTAACATGATGGATGGAAGTAATTATAAATTCGAGGCTATAGCAGTGTACTTTGGAATAATATGTTGACAACACTGTTACCACACATTTGATTCAACAGTGTAAAGCATCTGTTGTTACTAAATAATTTTGTTAGGAGAAATACACAACACTGGTGATACACATTTCAAAATGGGCCTTAGTGTAGTTTTTCATTCATGCAGAGTTTCATTTATGCTCATCACACCCTTTTGAAGAGATGATGATCGGAAGTTAAGCTGTTGCTGTAAAATGGTATATATGTGATTTAAATAATGACCTCTCTGATTGTTTATTGGTATTATTATTATTTGTCTAAAGATTTCATTTGTACCCATAGCCATGTTCCTCATTCACAGTCTAGAAGAGGGGTTTAGTCTTTATGCTTCATTACATTCAAAAGAAATCCTGGGAATAAATACTTCTCTTCTTATTTTCTTATTGTTACCATTTGGGTTGGGGGTTTTTTTGGGCTTTTTTTTTTTTTTTTTTTTTTTTTTTGGTGTGCAAAATTTGTGGCCTGAAAGTTTCATATGAGAGTTGCTGGAGAATGCAGAGATACTGCCTGAGAAAACCTACCCAGCTGGAACTACAACTGTCTTTTTGAACTTTTCACGACTCTTCTGATTTCACTGATGTGGTCAAGGTTAAAATTAAAGATGAATTTATGACCAGAGAAAGGATAGCAAAATTATGTTTGTCTTTTATTGCCTTATTTCCAAGACTAAAGCGAGGTGACTATATTCTCTGTAGAAGGAGATGCATACAGATCCTTCCCTTTGAGAAACTGGGAGTTATCAGATCAGGAGGAATTCATTCCAGTCCTGCATTGTCCCTCTTCATAGGAAATCTCTGCAAACATGATTCCAGTTACTGTTATCAGAAAAACTTGATTACTTGCCTGTTGTCTAAATAGATGCAGCCCAAATTGCAGAGTTGCTGGGGGTTGCATTTCTGTAACATCTCTCAGGTGAATTCAGGTTTCAGGGCAGACCCATGTAACTGTAGGAAGACACAGGAACGACTGGAGTAAAAATGTTAAGGGCAGCCCAGACTGTGGCAAAGGAGAGATGAGGATTTCAGGGATGGCTGTGGGTAGGTTATTCATTCAGATCCTGATTTCTCTAGAAGCTCTGCTGACCACAGAGCAACACGAGGGCAATAAGTTCAGGTGGCAAAACCTGAACTCGTTGCTTGAAAGTCACTTCAAATGATGGAGCTTTGAACTCTGAAGCAACTCAAGTAGTTTTGAGATAATGGTCACAGAAACAGGACTCTTTTTTTGTTCTTGAGAAAGAAGCTGCACGGAATTTTTGCCTGAGGCTGTTACCAGTTGTTCTAAGGTTTATGCTTTAGAAGCCAAGGAGGGAAAAGAGCTGAGGGGGAAAATATATAGGGACATCTGTCACATTTGACAGTGTAATGCACACTTGACTTTTGAAGGCTGATGTTTGTTACTCAGACTTCAGATATTTATCTACCAATTTAGGCTTTTGCCTAAAATAGCTAGTGGCTCCAAGAGTGAGCCATGCAAAATTATGTCCTTGTGGCCAGCATGCATTAGCTTGTAAAAATCTAAAACACCAGACAAGATTAAGAGAATAAATTTGCCTATTCATACGGACAATTGTGGTAGGGAATGTTAGAAAGAAAAAATATAAGTGCACTTGTTGAGAATGCCAAACCAATGAGAGGTTAAAAATAATAATGCTAATTGAAATGAAGTCCCGTCTCTTGCTTATTTAAGATTCTAATGGCTGGATGTGTTAGTATCTGAACCTTCAATAAAAGTATTTAAAAATTAAATGCAGGTATGTTTAAAATGTTAACCTATACAAGAAATATTGCTGCCAGAGGATAATTATCTTGCAGTCAGATTGACTTTGGATTGTCAAGGTAGTCTTAAGTAACGACCCAGCCTGCTTGGCAGCTGAATTGTTTTTAATAGTCATATTTTGTTTCAGATATGCTTATACAAAAGTAGAAATTACTTTCTAAATGTATTTCTTTATTTCAGATATATTTTTGTAGGCAAATAGGAAAGTATACGACGTAGAGTTTGAGATAAATTGGAGAGTAAGACTACATAAAAGATGGCTACCAAACCTAACACCACCTCCAACCTAAAATGTCCTTTGATTTGAAGTCCTTTGCCACTTCTAGAACATACATCTCATTTTTGCATGCGTCAGAAGTGAAGCAGTACAGTCAAACTTGACTTCAGAGCTAGAAAAGTATCTCTGAACAATTTCAATGACCATATAGTGAAGTCCATTTTCAGTATGCTTTTGGGTGGTGATAGTTTTATTCACGACCAATTTTTTAAAATTTTCTTTTGCATTAATGTGGATATTTTTTTCAAATTAACAAAGTAGCTAAGTTATTATTTAATTTTCCATTTTTTGCACTGTGGTCCCAACAAGAATTCCATATGAGATGTCTTATTTGCCCTGTTGCAACATGGATTGTTGTCTGGTTGGCACCAGACTTGGGAACATTAAAGAAGGAATCTTGTGACTCCCAAGAATGTTAGAGTTTAAGAAATTAGCATTATTTTTGAACAAAATGAGTGGGTGATCAGTGTGCAAGTAATTTGGAAATGACACTATTTTAGGGAGATCTGGAACATGAAGAGGAGAGGTTGGATGGGTTGTAATGTCAGAACCCACATATTTTTCCTACACGTACATTCCATGCCTTGTTGCAAAGGGCAGAATGGAAATAGACCAATGAATAAATTACTGTTTTACATTCTGTGAACCTTCTTGAGCAATCTTCCAATGAAAAAAACAAAAACCCATCCCCCAAAAAGTTACCTTCTAATTTTTTTTTTTTTTTAGTGATGGAGTTAAAGCAGTCTGATAAGGAAACTGCCAAAACTACTAACAATGCCAAGTTGTGAAATAACTACTTTTTTAATGTCTTGTTGCATTGCCCAACTCAGTTATATGGCTGTGTATTAGTTTCATTGTGGTTTAAAGAATATTAAGACAACAGTTTCATAAAGTTCAATATAAAAACTTTGTATTTTTTACCAAATAGGAATCAAATCTTATTTCTAAGATATTTGTCCCTTGCCCTTAAAGACTCAAAGAGAAGTATTTAAAAGCTATTTTTCACAAGAAACTAATGCAAATGTGGGTCAAAATATGAGAGATATTTTTTTCCAAGAGGTAGTTTCTTTCCTGAGATTTTACAGGATTTTTTTGAGTTTATTTTTAACTTGACTTTTATGTGGAAAGGTATAGAAGATAAATTGTAAAAGTTTTCTCAGAGACCTTTAAAGTATTTTCCCCATCTTCTTTTGCAGTCTATTTTGTGCCTGTTCAATTTATTTAAGATTATATTTGTTGTCTTCCAGGATGAGAGTCTATTTTCAAGATAAACAAGCAATCCATTTAATAAAACTGTAGGCCAGATAATGGGACTTCTATGCTATTACTCTTGTATGGATTTACCTACATGATTTCACTTAATATCGGCTAGAATTGCGTAACTGTATTTTCACAAGGTTTTTTTCAGACTTTTTATGAGACGATCTTGTTGTGAATGCTAGAGAGCATTCAAATGTAAGTTTCCAGGAAACTTTATTTTCTCCAAACATATTGTTGATCATTTTATTGGATATGGGCATTGATTTTTTTCAAGAGAAGTGTTTGAATTTTTTCTCATACACTTCTGGGAGATTTTTAGTATTGCAGGACAAAGCTTTCTGTTTGAATTAACAGTAGAAATGGCTGTTGATTTCTCGCTTCTGAAATGAGAGATGTGAACATCACAAAGCCATCACCCATCCTAAAGAGGTAAAAAACATGTCAAATTATTCCTCAGGGTGAGCATCTTTGTATTATGGTAATGAAATTTTTGAGAAACTTTGAATTTACAGGAAATGAGATGCTTCTAATAAAACAAATAGGGTAAATTATGAAATTCCTGGTAACAAATTCACATCAGAACATCCCAAGAATTTTATTTTTACTAGTCTCACTATATTTTTGTTACTGACAACCTGTTCTTTCCCGTTTTCCTCACAACTTCCTTTCTTGGCCTAATCCGTTTTTAAAGTCAACATCTGATCTTCTGAAACAGTACTGTATTATTTAACTCAGCATTTATCAGATCATCAATCTGAACTATCAGTTCAAAATTTAGCTAAGTCTTTGAAATATATCCTGAGAGGAAATCTTCAGTACTAGAGAGGTTTATTGTTATCCTATTAAGAACTTTTCAGAAAGGTTGATGGGTGCATGTGTGTGAATGAGAAATCTGTGCATATTGTAATTGCTAACTGAGGTGTGCTTAAGCCTTGTTTACCTAAAACTTTTCTGTGTGGATAAATAACCATGGAAAGCAAAGTGTTATTAATCTCCTCTGTACTCTGCAGTATCCCTGAATATATTATTTCTTTTCTGTGTGGCAGGAGGAATGCCAGAACTATATTCGAGTGCTTCTTGTTGGAGGCAACCATCTCTTTACCTGTGGAACCAACGCTTTCACTCCAATCTGCACCAACCGCACAGTAAGAGTTAAAACATTTTATCCCACAAGCTGGAGTCCCTGTTCTGAGCCAGCAGGTTAAAATGCAGAGCATGTTGTGGCTGAGAACTGGCTGTTTGGGTATTGATGAGTGAGCTGATTTGTAAAAGGCTGATTTAGCTGCTGGCAGGCCAAATAGGAGACCTAACCAATCTCTTTTTTGCATTCTTTTCCTCAGCTGTGGGAGGAAAAGTAGTTCCTCCTACATGCCAATTTTTATGAACCTTATGTGTTTATAAGACTTCTGCCTCTGTCAGGTTTGGTTGGCATCAATGGGTTTAGTTATCAAATGTGGTTATGTAGCTGCATACTGTGTGTGTGTAGTTCTGGAGACATGAGAGTACCTGTATTAGCAATTTATGACTGGTGAGAATGAGAAATCTTGACTGAGATCTGTCATTCTGTGTTCAAAAAAAGCCTAATTGTAGCATCAGTAATTGTCATAGTAAGTATAAAAATGTCACTGTTAGGACTAGGCTGCCTATTTGTTTCAGGAGGGTAGAATCATTTAAATACAAAGAACAGCTGTATTACTAAAAAACTCATTGACAGATTTATTATATTTAAATCCATTGCACCTTTATTTTCAAATAGCATATTAACATCATGCTGTGGTTTATGGCTGAAAGTATTTGGGCTACTAAATCAGACTTGTTCTGCTGAGTTGGAAAGCTTTTTTTCTTACTCTCATTTTTCATATGAGATTTTTTCCTAAAACACACCAACAAAACAAATAGATTTTTTTTGTAGTTGTTGTCTGCTGTGGTGGATGTTGTATTGATTCTGGCTATCAGGTTTGGTTTTATTTTTCATAATAACAGTCTTTGCAGAGGTAACAAATTTTTGAGCCCCTTCTAATAGAAAACATTTAGGCATGGTGGATAATGCTGACATGTATACTTTACATATCAAAATCATACATACATATGAAAATGGCAAAAGTGAGATCTGACAACATTACAATAAGACTTTCTATAAAAGGCAATTTCAAATTGATGTAGAGCTTGGCTACACAAAAAATAAAAGTAGATAACAGGTGTTCGTCACAGGATTTTGCTCAGATTGATGCAGCTTGGCTGAAACGGTAATTTTCAGGTGATTTTAATCCCTTTTTCTAATTCTTTTACAGTTAAGCAACTTGACAGAGATACATGACCAAATCAGTGGCATGGCTCGTTGTCCCTACAGTCCCCAGCACAATTCCACTGCTCTTCTCACTTCCAGTGGAGAATTATATGCTGCTACAGCCATGGATTTTCCAGGAAGGGATCCTGCTATTTATCGAAGCCTGGGGGCCCTTCCTCCTCTCCGAACTGCCCAGTACAACTCCAAGTGGCTGAATGGTGAGTGCTGATGGACTGTGAGACTCATCTTTTCAACTCATGTTCATCATATTCATGGTATTGAAATTCCATTCTGAGAATATGAATGTTTTTGGAATATTGCTTATTTTGCTTTAAAGTTATTTGCTTTTTTTATATAGTATGTTACTAGTATAAGTACTATGGAATTTAGTTGATATAGCTGAAGCTTGTAGATGTGCCCTTAAATACATGTCATTTTTGCAGGCACAGGGATGAGATGCACATACAGTGCTCTTACATGGCAAAGCTGAGTCAGCTTTAAGCAGCAGCTTGCATTGAGCATTCTTTTCTGAGTCCCTCAAAAGCCCAAGGCAGAAGATAAACAGTTTAGGATGGACTGAATTCTCCTGGCTTTCCCTGCAGGTCCCAGCCTTGACAAGTGGAAAAAGTTCGGCTTTCAAGCTGCTTACATGGCAGGCTGACATTTTTGACACTTGCTATAGCTATAGGACAGGGAATAGTTTACAAAACATATTGTAAATTTGTGTTTAGCAGTCAATTTTGTTTTATGGATTTTAATCACATGATGAGGGTTTTCAGCTGGGAGAAGCTGCAAACAGGCAGGAATTCCTGAGATGTGACAGACCGAATTGCCATTTTGTTTACTACAAAAAAAAAGGAAGCAGATTCTTCTAAAATGAAAAGTATTATTAAACATAAAGTGTGAAATTATGTATATTATAGTTTTTCCATGCCTGTTCCAGAAGAAAAAAAAAAAAATCATAATGCATGTTTTGTGACACAACAGTCACTATTCCTACAGTACTTTTCATGTTATGATGGGATTAGTCTCATGTTGGAAATTAAATATAAATATAAATCCTTCTAGCTTCAGAACATTTGGTCAGCTGCAAGAAACAGATTTTATTTTGAAAATATCCCTTCTCATATAATGTGAATGCTGAATTGTGGTATACGACTGGTATATTTTATTTGAACAATGAACCCATCAGAGATAGCTCGCAGAAATTTGTGACCTTTTCTAAAGGCTGGATGATTTTAGAATGTTAATTATCAACAACAAAAAAAGTCCTAAATTGTGTGCAACGTAACAATTATAGCAGTGCAAAAGAAGTGAGGGAAAAAATGAAGTCATTGTATGTATATCCCTGGTCAGGCACCCTTTGTCCACTCAACTTGGTATTGGAACTAATTGCTGTGCCACACCTGCGTGCTTTTGTCAAAGGGGAAAAAGTTTTCACACAGAATTTGCAGCTTAACTGGATATTTTTATGCCAAAGGCATGCTAAAATTCTCTCTAGGTTTCTCTAATTAATCATATTCACTGTATTCACATTTTGTCTATTAAAAGCTTCAGATGTACTTATGCATTCTCCATTAGAGTTCATTCTTCTGACTCAAAACTGTTTATAATTAAGTTACAGGAAACTGTAGCTTTTATCTTTGGGGAGGAAGAACAAGATGAATTTTGTAATTGGAGCCAGATAAAGTGAGTCCAATAAAAGACTGAAAGCAGCCCAGTCAACTATATTAAAAGGAGGAGTTATTATTTTCTGGGCTAGCTAGGAGTGAGGGATTCATCTGCTTGACTTGGGGATTCATCTACTTTTATGTCAATTTGCGTGCTTTTATGATTCAGTGCCAAGAAACTACATTAGTTTTTCAGTGCTTGGATTGAAGGGAAGATTTTGCTGCTTTCACTGAGAAAGTAACACAGATCGATAATCCTGCAAGAAAAGTAAGGCATCGACAGGAATGGAAGCTCCGTAGTCAATATCTGTTACGCATCAGTAGCTCACAGTTACTGTAATTCAGCCTCATTTGAGGTGCTCATGTGCATGCATCTATCAGTGTTTCCAATTCAAAGTTTTCCTCGGAAGCACCCTGTTTTTTCTCACTTAGATTTTCTGCTCTGTGAATCATGTTGGACCAAATCAAATCATCTCTGGGGGTGATGATTGTACTCTGAAACACAGCTGATTGTCTTGTTCTGTGCTTTATTGCTATGCAATAAAGACATTGTGGATTTTAGTGGCTAGCACAGCGTATTTGAAGATCTTCAATCCCATCAGTCAGGCAAAAAAGACGTGCCTATATGCTGAGGTGCTGAGGCAGTCTGTTCTTGGTGTTCACTGTACCTTTTGGTGCAGGATCTTGACTTGAAAAGCTCTGAATCTTCATCACAGGGGAAAATATGTTCCTAATCTTACTTGTCAGAAGGTCTGTAATCACAGGAACTATGTTGTACAGTGTGGGAGGAGAAAGTGGAGCTGATGTCTCAGGTGGATTGGGTGAGATGCCATATTACCATGATGTGATTTCAGCTTCTGGAATCACAGATTTCACCAATAAAATACATTTATATTCTTGACAGGAGTTCCCCATTTGTTCTGGTTCAGCCATATTCACATACTTATTGTTGGATCCTGCCTTCTACTGGGGGCTTGATAGGCCTGGAAGCAGTCCACATCAGCCAAGTACATAAGTTAGCAGCTATTCACTGAGCATCATTATGATCATTATGATTGCTTAATTGTGGAAGATTATGGAGAAATCAGGGAACTTTCATTTCTGAACTACCATTTTCTTGATGCACTCAACATGCAGTTATCTGGGGGGACAAAGAGTTGGTTAGGTCAGTGAGAAGTATTAATTATTCAGCGTGTGTGTTAAATTAAGCTACAGAAGTATGCTGAGAGAAGATAACTGAAGGGGAAAAGGTAAATTAATGTGAAGCACAAAGATTTTGAACAGACACAAATCCAAAAAGTTAGATAGACAGCACAGCAACACTGCCAACACAGAAACCCTATTTCTGACTGGAGCTAGTTACTCTGGAGCCATCTTTGAGGCTCTCTGAACATACTGATTGTTCACCTGCTAGGCAACAGGTTTCAGGATTTAACTCCCTGAATTTTGTCTGGTTTGAAAATTGTTATTGGCCGAAATAACCATTCACGAAATGTTACAGGTGTCTGCACACTTCCCTAAAGTTTTCCTATTTTGGAAAATTTTAGAGTGTGCATGGGTCATGTTGTCTTCATTGATGGAGGAAAGAAGCATCTGGTGGTACTTACTGAACTTAGTCTCTTGTAAGATTTACGGTAGTAATTATTCAGCTCTTGAATATCTCTAAATAAGATCCTTTTTTTTTTTATTACTTCAGAACTTCCCTCTGCTTCTAGGAAAAGAAATTTATGTTCTGTTCATGGATGCTATTTCTGTCTTCCTGGTGCTCCTATAGAGAACACCAACTAGAGGTGGCCCAAAGGCAGTGAGCAGCTTTTTGACCAGGTGTAACCATGCAGAAATTCTGCTCATCTCCACGATGAGATGCCACTGAAGCACCAGGCTACTGTAGTAGCACTCACCTTAGTTCATCAGGGGTTGGCCTGCTCACAAAGAATTTATTAAATGATAATGCAGGGAGAGACAGCCCCTGTGTGATCCTCTTGCCAGTCCTGTTGGCACTTTGCACCTATGTCACTGCTCTCAATAGGGAACACGATCACTGCCCTGCTGGCTGCAGGACAGTAAACCTGCAAATGTGAAATAGAGAACCAAACTCTCCTTCCCATGAGATCATATTTTGGCCATCTCCTTTCCCATGTAAAGGAAAATGTAATGCCTGAAGTTACTCACATGAATATGTATATATGCACAAACAGATGAAGAAAGTGGAAAGACTGCTTACCAGCAGTTTATTCTGCAAGGTGTCCTGTTCTGCTGTGTACGCTCTCTTTCTCTGAATCTATGTTCAGGTGTTTCCGTGCTTAAGAGAAGCAATTTGAGGTGATAGAGCACACACTGAGGGTTATGTCTAAAGCAGAAATCAGCAGACACTGATTTCTTCTCCTGACCAAAGCAGTCAGCAAGACCCTGAGCTTCAGCCAGCCGCTCAGGCCAGTAAAGGGCAAATTGTTGCTGGAATGTTTTAAAATTTCCCTTGTAGTTTTTCATAAGAGAAATAGTCTGCCTTATCAGTTTGCTTTGGACATTATTAAATGATAAAAAATAAATTATTCTTTCATTAAGCGGGCATGTTGTCTGTTTCAGTGTCTTTAAGCTGTCAGTGTAACCATGTTTAAATCATATCTGGAGTTGATATAGTAGGCTTCTAATTAGACTTTATTGTAGAGTTGATCTGCAAAGTGTAGCAGGGGCAGAATTTGTCACAGTTTGCTCTAGAGAGCAGAAGTAAATGTAATAGTTATATTTGCAGTCCACAGTTGCAGTGTGTCCAGATTGGCAATGAAAAGCCTTCAGTGTTTAAACATAGAAACCTTTTCTGTAGTCCAACATTTACAGTTAGTAAAGGTATTTCTCCATTCAATATGCCTCTTTAAATCACTAAATTTTATCTGATACCTCAGTGTGAAAGTTTGCCTTAGTCTATAATGTCTGTTTGCTCCCCTCAGCCAATAAAAGGGCAAAACATTATAAAAAAAAAAAAAAATCCCTGTTTCATCACACAGAGAAACACTGCAACATTTGGTTTCATAATTTGTCAAATTCCTTTCCTTACAATTTCATGGGTCTTCAACTATCTTGAAATGATTTTGGCTGTTTTCTCTACCCTAGACATGCAAGGTTAGATGCTATTGGAACATATTAAATAAATAAAATCTGTGTTCTAAATGTCACAACATTTCATCAGTGGGCAGATGATAGATGATTAAAAATTAATCCTGGATCAGATGTAGCAATAAAGTAAAATAAAATAAAATAAAATAAAATTTCTTCCAAATGAGAAGCCTTTCCATCTGAGGAGATGAATGTTTGGATTGTTCTGCTTTACTGGTAGACATAATATTACCATTTTTCCTCTTGCTGTCCTAAGCATTTGGTTTTTAGATACTCTTACTAGAGTGGTTCTTTTGAGATCACTTTCTTAAAAACACTAATAAAAAGATTATTAATCCAGGGCAGATACTTTCAGTCTTCATTCACTAGTAATAGTAAAATTCTTACAAGGGTGGTTTGGTTAGAGGGGTTTAATACAGCTCTGAATCAATGCC